CCTAAAAACCTCACTCAAATGGAGGAAAAAAAACTCATATAATTTGATGAAAGCTTGATTGAAACTTGATGCATACAATGGAGGGAACATGGTTATTTATAGGCTAAAGCTAAGTATAGGTAATAAATGAAAAGTAAAATGCAGTTAGAAGTTAGCCAATTTTGTAGACTTGAGTAGCCATTTTACTGACTTGGGTGACCATTTTGACAAAATTGCACCAGCCTATATTGTAGTCTGCGAAGTTGTTGACTTTGTTCTGCATTCCTGATGCATTTGGGTAGGCTCTGTCTTCAATGGAAGCTTCCTCTTTCTCCCTTCTTTCTTGCAACACTCCTCCTCCTCTGTGTCGCTTTTCTTTTTCTTCTAGTTGGTCTGTTTGTCTGGGGTAGTTTTTCTTTTTTAGGCGATTCTCAATCCCTTCAATACAAGAATGTAATTATAAAAACGTCAACAACAAAATATTGGCATAAATATATGTTTTTTGCATCAACATTATTGATGCAAAAAAATTAATCACAAAAAAAATTTATCAATGTCAATTAAAAATCATTTGTATAGGTATTATTGATGCAAACAGTAGTGTGGTTAATGTTTCAAAGTAATAAGAGTTGTAAAAGGTAACCATATGAATAATTCCTTGATATTTGTGTAAGAATATTGTGTTGACGTGAATAGCTATTGTTGATGCAAATAAGTTCTATTATCTTCAAAACATATCTGATTTGTATTTTTTTTTTAAGCTTTTCATTTACTCCTCCTCCTTTCTCTTTCACAAAACCAAAGGGGAGATCATTGTCGACCTTTCATTCTAACATCCATCAAAATTTAGTCCACACAAAGGAGACAAAAGGGTTATGAAATCATTTCTTTAAAAGTTTTTTTAAAATTTTTTTTATCAAATTTGCATGTTGTATGTGTTAAATTTAACTTTTTTGTCTTTTTGTTTTTTACCCTTTTGGATTGAAGATCTTGGTATCTAGTGTTCACAAAAAAGACAAAAGGGTGCGGAAATCATTTCTTTGAAAGTTTTTAAATTTTTTATCAAATCTGTATGTTGTATGTTCCATATCTAAATTTTTGTCTTTTTTATTTCCCCTTTTATATTTAATATCCAAGGACATTGAAACTCCTGAAAGGTATATTTTGTCTAATAAAACTTTTAGGTTAAATGTTAATTTTAGTCCCTCAACTTTAGAATTTTAACAATTTTTATCTTTCAATTTTTTCATACACTTTTTTTTGTCCCCCAATTATAATAATATTGGTTAACGCAAATATATCTATATATCTACCATGCATGGTAGTTCTACCATTTCTCTTCTTCTTTTCTACATTCATTTCTCTTCTTTCCAATCTCTTCTCATTTTCTTAGTTTTTCTCTCTTTTTTTTTTCATAAACTAATTTTATTCCCACGAAATTTTAGTCACAATCTAATGATATAATCTATGTTCCATAAATTCTTTTATTTTATTATAATTTTTTAAATATTTTGTATACTTCTACTATTTTAGGGTTTTAATTTGTATTTAAACTAATTTTTTCATTCTTGTTTGTCGGTTTATATATTGGGAGAATTTCTTACATAAGGTACATTACTTTGTACCATTTTTACATAAGGTACATTACTTTCTGCTATTTTTTCCATCTTTATGCCATTAGTTTGTATTATATTCTATGATGATTAATTTTAAATATGATTTTTATTTTTCTTTCTTGTATTTTTATAGGGGAGATGTTTCAATACATTGTATGGTATGTGATTATATTTTGATTTTCTTGGAGTTTCTTTATATGTTGGAATCTCTTGAGTTTGGTGGGTATGATACACACCAGGAAGAGTTAACCCAACAGGTTTCCAGAATGCAATGACTTAATCTTAGAAACCTAGAAGCAGGATCAAATCAGTAAAATTGGTGAGACACTTGATGTTAATGAACAAGACTACATTAAGTTTTTAACTTTCGCTTTAAGTAAAGCAATTCACATGTTCAGGAACAAAAAACAATCCCGAGTACAAGATATATATTTTTTTTTTGGATAAAATGTAAAGTTTTTATTTATCCAAACTGATTGTGTACAATGAAAGCAGTAAATATGCTACTACTTGAAAAAAAAATATCCAAAACAGAATATACAAAATAACCACTATGCACAAACTTAACATCACACTGCTATTGTTTCAAGCCCCAATTTCGTGCAATAGTTGTAGGCAATAGCAATGATTTCGGCTTAACAAAACCCAAAATTTTGCTTCTTACATCAATCTGGATATCATGAATAAGTGCACTCTCTGACTTGAAGACTTGCTGATGAAATCTTCTATTCCTCTCCATCCACACATGGTAGATAGAAGCATTCCATGTTAGCTTGATTAGGGTGTGATATAAAGACTTCCTTCGAATCCTCTTACCCAGCCAATGCATTAGGCTTTGCCAAGAATCAGTAAAAGGTATACCAGTTATAAAACAAAGCTGCTGCCATATATTACTGGTAAAATTGCACTTAAAAAACAAGTGCTCATTTGTCTCCGAACTACCATTGCATAGGATGCAAGTGTCAGCAATTGTAGGCGTCCATTGTTTCTGTCTAACTCTTGTGGTTAGCCAATTGAGAATGGCTAGCCAACTAATAAAGCTATGCTTAGGAATGGCTTGATAAAACCAGATTAGCTTGTGCCATGCTTTTCTGCCTTGTTTCCTTCTCAGCCAGTTCCAAGTCTGTCCAGCTTTGTAACTTCCTGATGTAGATGGCACCCACAACACCTGATCTTTCTCACTTTGCTTTGGCCAAATGCTAAATAGATGCATTTGAATTTGTACCAATTGAGGTGACCTAGCCGGTGGCCATTTCCAAAAATCGCCACTAATTACACATGCTGGCTTTGCTTGAGAAGGTATCCCTATATCTCTTACAATAGAATCACCATAAGTCTCTAATAATGGCCCACAGGGGTGCCAATGATCATGCCAAATATAAGTATCCATGCCATTACCCGGTACATGCTTAATAAGCTTCCTAGCTACTTGTCTCAATGTGAGGATTTTCCTCCACCCCCAAGATGCATTAGCTAGTATATTAACAGCCCAAAAGCTTCTGCCCTTTAGTAAGTATTCATGGGTCCAAGCTCCCCAAATAGATCCTGCTCTTGTAAACAGCATCCAGATGAATTTTAATATACAAACTTGGTTCCATAACATCAGATTTTTGAGCCCTAAGCCACCCTCATGTATAGGAGAACATACAGTTTCCCAATCTACTTTGGCCCCTTTAGCACTATGCGTGTCATTGTTCCACAAAAAGGCACTGCAGATTCTCTCCACTTCCCTTATGACCCCCTTTGGCAAAATAAAGACAGAGCACCAAAAATTAGTGATGCCTTGAACAACCGAAGATATCAGTTGTAATCTTCCCGCAAAAGAGAGATGTTTTGTAGCCCATGAGGTCATTCTCCCAAGTTAACACGTAACCCAGAAACTTCATAAAATTGCCTTAAAACAGCATCAATCACATCAAGTGAAGTCAAACTACCATCAGAAAAAATTATTAAATCATCTGCAAAACACAGATGTGTAAGTTGCACCTTTGCACATTTAGGATGGTAGGCAATTTTTCCTTCTTCTGCTGCCTTATTTAATAACCTTGAAAGAATTTCCATACAAATCACAAAGAGGTAGGGTGATAAAGGATCCCCCTGTCTGATACCCTTCTTACTAGGAAAGTAGCCACACAAGTTGCCATTGAAAACAACTGAGAACATAGGTGTGGTCACAAAAGCAGAAAGCCAATTTATAAATTTGTTAGGGAACCCCAAGGATAACAAAATCTGAAAAATAAAATCGCATGAGACTGAATCAAATGCTTTCATCAAATCAATCTTCAAGGCACATCTAGTGCTTAAGCAGCTCTTATGATAGTGCTTTACAATTTCCTGGGCCAAAAGAACATTTTCAACCATTAGTCTGCCTTCCACAAAAGCGCATTGGCTTTTGCTAATAAAGAGGGGTAGACATTTCTTGAGTCTTTCAGCCAAAATCCCGAGTACAAGATATATTATATGTTACAGATAAAAAATAATTAACGAGCAAAATGCAAGGTTCCAACAGCATATTATATACAGAGTACCATTCTTCAAATGTTATAGCTTCAATCCAAACAAACATGAAAATGTTCAAGTGGAAATAATACACACTATGTACATCAAACAACTGATACTAATCTTCAAACTTCAGATAAAGCAACTTCTAGCTTGTCATCCTCAAAATTCTCGGCGCACAAACATGATGGGATGTAGGATTTGAATATATGTTCCATGTCAGGAGTATCCTTCAGTTCAAGGCAAACAACCTCAAGAGCTGTATGACGAAAGGCTGGATAGAATTTCTTTCTACAGACGAAGGCGAAGATCAAGGAAACTATAACAAGTGGAACTGCGAGTGGAGCATAGTAAAACTTCTTAGCACCAAAGTAGCCAAGCATGGTAACTTGGAATAGAAGCAAAGCAGCAAGCACACGCGAATGTATGTGTGGCCACATCCTTCCATAGCTCTCAAATGATGGAGAATAAACTTTCAGTGCCTGTTAAAAAGACATAGCAAGAAATCTATTTGCTTAAACACAACATTAAATTTACAAAAACCATATTTGTTGCAAGTTTTCAATTCTTTTGGGAGAAGGCTCTTCTTATTTGCTTAA